CGGGGGACGGAGCTGTCCCGTCCCCCGGGAGGTCGAGTGTACCGGGTCGAGGGCCGCTCCGGAGAGAAGGCGGCGGCCCAAGCTAGCCCCTGTAGACGGCGTTGTTTTTCACTCCATGGCGTCGAAGGCCGCGGGAATGGTAGCAGACCCGGGCCTGCGGCGGGGCGTGCACATGGCCGGGCGCTCCGGCTGTCGCGGAACCGTGGGTTCTTGGGTCTAGGAGGAAGGGTCTCCGGCGCTGTCAGTCACCGCCTGGGTGTCGGCACTAACCCCTCGCCCTCCCCCACTCCCTTCTCCTCCCCCTCTCCCTTCCCCACCTTTCTGTGGACTGCGAGACTCAACAAGTGACTTGCTGAGCAAACCCAGCTTAAGGGAGTCCTTCTTAGGAAGACGGCGGCCAAATGCGGCGGAAAAGGGCTCCGGCGCTGCATGCCCTTTCCCACGGACATCTCTTTTGCAGAGCTGGCTCCGGGGACTGGTGCTGCTTTAAATACAGGGATAGTTTCTATCGCGGCCCGTGGCCTACGTTATTTCTTCACTGTCCATTGCCCGGGGTGCTTGCCTCATAATTTACAAGCACTAACTTAAAAAATCGTTATGCGTTGCATTGCGATGAGATTAATTAGAAGTCAAGTAGGGTCTGTCCAGGAGTTGGTTACTTACTAGAACTTGATATAAAAGGAAGGCGATACAGTGAAGTTTAAGGAGCCGGTGAGTGGAATAGAAATTAAATTGCACTGAAATGGCGCAGTCAAATTCGAGAGGCTAGCCACATGTGACTTTTGAGCATGTGAAATGCTGGCTAGTCGAATTGAGATGTGTTGTGGGTGTTAAATACGCTGGACTTTGACGTTTGAGTAGTAAAAGCAACGCAAAATATCTGGTGAGTAATTCTTTATGTTGACAATGTATCGAAATGATGGTATTTGGGCATATATTGTTAAATAAAATATGCATACAGTTTCACCTTTTTCTTCTTTTTTAATGAAGTTTCTGGTCTATTTAAAATTACGCATGTAGCCACATTTCTGTTGGGCAGCTGTGCTCTAGAAGGTCATGAGGGAAGATAACTGAGAACAGGCCACAGCTGTAGGGGACGGTCCTGTGAGTAGGATGTTTGCCTTTCTGTAAGACTGATTCCAGTACAAATAATAGGCTATCATGGTGATTTGCTTCTTCCTGCTGGAAAAGGAATGCTTGGCACACTTGTATTCTCCCTCCTTCCCCTCCAGTTTAATGGTTAGTGTATTTCCTGCAGTGGGCTTAATGTTGGGATTCTCTGAGCAGCATTAAGAAGACTTAGGTAAATGATTCCCTGTTGACCACATTTGCTTTTCAAATTACTGTCACCCTAATTTTAATTGGTATAGAGTCAGAAAGGCAGATAGGTCATCAGTAGTCATCTAACTGTATATCAGTGAATTTTCTCAGTGAATTTTCCCACTAAATCTCAAATCCTGTTTTTTTTGTAGAGACAGGGTCTCGCTATGTTGCCCAGGCTGGTCTTGAGCTCCTTGCCTTAAGTGATCCTCCTGCTTTGGCCTCCCAAAGTGCTAGAATAACAGGCATGAGCCACCACGCCTTTCCTCAAATCTTTTGTTATAGACTGGCCAGATGCATTAAAGGGACAGCACAGGACACGTGGCACTTGATTTCCAGATTGCTTGAGTTGATACCATTTTTCATTACTTTGATCTGGGCTTCCTAAAAGGCCAACTAAAGCTTTGGTTAACTTAGATGCAAATAAAATATCCTCCAAGGATTGCTCAAAGTGATTGATGTAACTTGAGTACGTATTGTTTCTTTCGGATGTTTATCTCAAATTATCTGGGCATTTGCTGCAGCTTTGCCGTTAAAAACAAAAACAAAAAAACGAAATAATTATTTTTCAGGTTATAGATATTTTGACAAAACTGCTATTTTGAGCTGTTAGCAGACACATAAACAACCCTTTCTTTCATAGCTGAGAATTTGAAATTGGAAAATATTTAACATGTAGGAATTGTTTATTTGCTTCCTGGCCTATAGGGCAGAGCCAGGTTGTTTTTCAGAGATGTTGCTGTGTCTGTTCTACCTACTTGGCTTTCTTACTGACCAAGGCAGCTTGAGAACATTTTTTTTTGTCATTTGGAACATTTTGATAGTGAACATTTTGTGCCTTCTTATAGGGAAAAAAGTGTTTTTGTTATAAAGCCAGGATATGTGCCGTCAGGTTATAGTGTTTGCTTTTCCCCTTTAGATTTTCTTTAATCACACTGCAATCACTTGGAGGTAAGCTAGCAGTTGTGAAATGCATAATGTTCGCCTTGATGTTATACTTCAGCAGTGTATGTAATCCTTTATTCTGACGACTGTTTCTACTTGCAGGAAAAGAGGGCATTGACTTGTCAGGGTGACCTGAGGCGGGAGGTCCTGGTGACTTGGGGAGCTTCTTAGATCTTTGAGGGCTTTTGGGATTCTGAGATGGAGCAGCTGGGGCTGGGATTGGCTAGGGTGAACCAGCCTGCATGTGTGTCTGTATCTTGGGAGCAAGCTTTGGCCACGGAGACGGATGGGGCCTGGACCTCCCAGTGCTAGTCAGCGCCAAACCCTGAATGGATGAGATGCAGGCTTTGGTGGGAGCCAGCTGTGGAGATCATCTATCTTCCTGAGTACTTGCAAGTCAATTAAATCATTCTCAGTTCCTGTGCCTGCCAACCTCACGGGAATGTCCAGTGGGTGAGGTGGTTTGTGTTTTGGTCTTCCAGGTGGTTTTTGCATGTTTCTGGAATGAGGATTGACTACAGGTTGGAGTAGACACTGACCGGTTGCTGTGCTTCTGTCTCCACAGAGAGCCGAGCTTAGCTCCCTGGCACCATGTGTGGCATCTGGGCCCTCTTTGGCAGTGATGACTGCCTCTCGGTGCAGTGTCTGAGTGCCATGAAGATTGCGCACAGGGGTCCAGATGCCTTTCGCTTTGAGAACGTCAATGGCTACACCAATTGCTGCTTTGGATTTCACCGGTTGGCTGTGGTGGACCAGCTGTTTGGGATGCAGCCAATCCGAGTGAAGAAATACCCATACTTGTGGCTCTGCTACAATGGTGAAATCTACAACCACACAAAGGTGAGGACAAGGAGGCCAGAAGATGTCTGGGTGGGCTGAAACTTCAGAGCTTGTTTGTTAGGATAATATTATGTGTTCTGTGTAATGTATTTTATTTTGCAAAGCTCTTTCTGTGTTCTTTTCCTCATTTGCTCTGGGCACATATGCAGACAGGGCACTGGGGTACAGAGAGGTGACTTAGTCACAAAGGGGATAAAAATGGAGTTGACAGCCAGGCGCAGTGGCTCACGCCTGTAATGCCAGCTCTTTGGGAGTCTGAGGTGAGAGGATTGCCTGAGTCCAGGGATTTGAGACCAGCCTGGGCAACTTGGCAAGACCTCGTTTCTATAATAAATAAAAACATAATTAGCTGGATATGGTGGTGTGCACCTGTAGTTTCAGCTACTTGGAAGGCTGAGGCGGAAGGATCGCTGAGCTCAACAGGTTGAGACTGTGGTAGCCATAAGCGTGCCACTGCACTCCAGCCTGGGTGACAGAGGGAGACTCCTACTCAACAACAAAAAAAGTGGGGATTACTATTCGGTTTCCTTGACTCTTAGAATGCCCCCCCTTATGAATTTAAATGTATTAGAGCCTGTGGTAGGCATGGGGGTACATCGTGGTGAATGAGAATTCTGTACTCTGCTGCAGCTTAGTCTTTTAGGGGACAGTATAAAACTATGGTGCATACATTAGGCATTCTAAGGAATAAACATGGATCCGATGCACGTAGGAGACCCACGTATAGCCAGGGTGGTCTGAGAAGGCCTCTGGAGGAAGTGACATTCAAACTGAGACCTACTGGGCAAGGATCAACTCACGGGGCTGGGAAGAGCATTTCATGCAGAGGGAGCGGTATGTAGAAGCCCTAAGGTGGGAGCAACCCCGCGACTATGAGAGCATGAAGGGGAGTGGGCAGGGTAGGCCTGGGAAGGCAAGCAGGACCAGGGCAGGCTGGGTTTTGTAGCCATGGTAAGGGGTTGGGACATGAGTCTGAAAATGCAGTAGCAGTTGAGGATTTTAAGACAGGGAGAGAGTTTTCTAGTTGGGGGATGGTTGTAATTATAACTTTTATATAATACTGCTCCTGGGGTTTTTGTTGAGATTGTATATTTCATTTCATCAGAGCCAAAGGGAGAAAGAGTTAGCAACATTCCAATTGGAACTGTTTTCTAATCTACTGAAAACGAGCTGATAGAAAGGGATAGAAATTCTGACCCTGGGAAGCTGAGTTTGATAAGAACCTTCCAGTCTGGGATTGTTTGGCTAGTGTTCCATAAGAAAGGTTTTTTTATTTAAAAAATTTTTTATTTTTTGAGTTGGAGTCTTAACTGTTGCCCAGGCTTAACTCCACTGCAACCTCGACCTGTTGGGGTCAGGTGATCCTTTCGCCTCAGCCTTCCAAGTAGCTGGAACCACAGGCGCTCGCCACCGTGCCCAGCTAATTTTTCCTGATTTATTGTAGAGTTGAGGTCTTGTCAAGTTGCCCAGGCTGGTCTTGAATCCCTGGGCTCAGGCAGTCTTCTTGCCTCGGCCTCCCAAAGTGCTGGAATGACAGGTGTGATCCACTGCCTGGCCTAGAAAGGTTTTAGTCTACCATTTGCAAGCAATTTTTTTGTCACCCTCCTCAACTTTTCATTGTGGAAAAATGTCAAACATTCAGAAAAGGGCAGAGCAGTGAGTACTGAGGTTGAATAGTCATTCATGTTTTGCCATATTTGCTTAATCTGTCTACACACTCATATACATACACATTCACATATTCACTTCTTGGCTAAATCATTCGAGAGTATGGTGCAGAGTCTATGAAACTTTACCCCTAAATCTGTAAACGTCTCCTAAGAATGAGCACATTCTACCTAATACCAGTGCCCTTATTAAACCTGAGAATCTACCCAGTGTCCGGTTCATATTTAAATTTCTCCAAGTGTCCCAAGAATCTCTGTCTTTTTTTTTTTGTTTGTTTGAGTTGGAGTCACACTGTTGCCCAGGCTGAAGTACAGTGGTGTGACATGGCTCACCACAGCCTCCAACTCCTGGACTGCGGGCACGTACCACCATGCCCAGCTAACGTTTTGATATTTTGTAGAGTCAACGTCCCACTGTGTTGCCCAGGTTGGTTTTGAATTCCCTGGCTCAAGCTATCTTCTCGCCTTGGCTGGGATTACAGGTGTGAGCCACCGTGCTTGGCCTGAAAATCTGAAATTTGAAATGCTCCAAAATCTGAAACTTTTTGGGTGCTGACATGATGCCACATGTTGAAAATTCCACAGCTGACTTCATGTGTCAGATCACAGTCAAAATACAGTCACACAGCACAGTGTGTTCAACATTCCCAAGGGAAAAAAAGACCCTCCCAGTCCCCTTCTACTGTGATGTGTCTTTTCTGCACATGCCCAGATCATGTCCCCACATGAGACCACAGCCCATGTGAGTACTCGCTGTGCATTTTTGCTTATTCTGTGCTCTGTGGTGTAAAGATGTGTTGAAGATGTCAGAAAGACCTGAAGATACTCCTGTGGGTGGCAGTGATGAGGACAAGAGGAAGTATAATGTTTACAACACAGAAAAGTCCAGCTGTTGGAAAAACTGGACATGGTGTGGGGTGGGTCAATGGGGGGAATGTGGTGGTGGGCTTTTGGGAGGACTGGAGAAAGCATGATGATTTATAAACTCAAAGAGATGCTTCTGAGATCGAACCCCTGTGGAGGAGGCAGGTGACTGAAGGAAACATTGAAAGAGCCATCAAACGGAACTCCTCCACGACCCAAGGGGACCCGCTTTCTGGTCCCCCCACTGCCTCTGATCACCTGAAAAGGTAAAAAGTTCTACAACCTTTTAGTGAGAACACGGCATTGTAGAAGTCTGAGAACCTGCCACTGGTGTGGCTGTAGTCTGGCAGCTGCTACAGGTATTCTGGTGAGACCATCGTGTGCCTACTTAGCTGGAACATAACATTTTTTCGCTGTATTAATGGTAGTCCTGGTTTTTACTGATGTGTGAATAAGTGTAAGAAAACAGTTGCTCATTGGTAACATGTAAATTCGGTAAAGCCAGGAATGATGGTGAGGCCACATAGCTACAGATGTCCCTCGGGGTCGTTGACGTAGGGACATCTTTGCTTTCCGATGGTTCAGGGTATGCAAACTTTCTTTCATGCACAAATTTTGTTAAAATATTATATAAAATCACCTTCAGTCTGTGTGTTAACGGCTCATATGAAACATAAATGAATTTCATGCATAGACTTGGGTCCCATCCCCAAAATATCTCCTTGTATATATGCAAATATTCCAAAATCCAAACAAATGCGAAATCTGAACTGTTTTCATCCCCAAGCATTTCAGATGAGGGATACTCAACCTGTAGATATGCAAATATATGTGTATTACATGCATAGTATATGTATGCTATGCCTTTCCATCCCTCACTATGGTACTGTTCTGCTTCATTGCCACTGTATTCTACTGAGAGTGCCAAAAACATGCATTTACATTTTAAGAGATGTTACCTATAAGTTGCTTTTAGTTTGCTCTAATCAGAAGGGTTTAGACTCTGATGGTCACCACTTTGAGCACCTATTGTAATTGCAGAAGTCAAACATTTTGCATATTCATCTTTTGTTATCATTTAGATTCAAGTATTACAATTTTAATATAGGTTTTTTCCTTTCTTACTTTTTTTGACACTCTGTATTTATCAGAATGCAACTAAAATTTTCACAGTTTTAGCTTCATTTGAAATAGAATGTTCAGAATTGTGAGTTGAAACACGTTATAGTTTGATAATGCTACAGTTCTTCTAAATCACCAAAGTGCTTGACATGATTATAGAGCACAGGAATATTGAAGCAACTTTGCAATAAAAGCTATGCATAAGACTCTGACATTTTACTTTGCGATTGCTTCCTTAAGCTGCAACAGCATTTTGGGTTTGAGTATCAGACTAGAGTGGACGGCGAGATCATCCTTCATCTTTATGACAAAGGCGGAATCGAGCAAACGGTCAGCATGCTGGACGGTGTGTTTGCATTTATTTTGCTGGACACTGCCAGTAAGAAGGTGTTCCTGGGCAGAGACACGTATGGAGTCAGGCCTCTGTTTAGGGCCATGACCGAAGATGGATTTTTAGCTGTGTGCTCAGAGGCTAAAGGTAATGAGAGGCTTCTTCTATAGATTTTTATTATTGTCCTTGTTTTGTGTTTTCTTCTAGAGCAGAGTTGAAAATCCTACAGGAGCAAGTCACAAGTTTACAAATGACTAAGTAAGGCATGGAGCCTTAGCTTTGTGCTTTTTTTAAAAAAACAAAAAAACAAGAAAACCAGGACTTGTGCTCTCCTTTTCAAAGCTTATATTCTGCACCTAAGGATGAGTCTCTGGTTCAGTCACGTATTTTTTTGTTGTGGTAATTTCTCTGCATCTAGCTTGAGCGTATGTGTATTTTTTTTTTTTTTTTTTTTTTT